CTCATACTGTCATCTCATCATCTGGTACTGAAGACTGCACCCTGTGTGACTTAGCAAACAAGTGAGCCATCTCACTTCCTTTTCATCTCTGTTGAGTAACACATACGCTGTACTGAATGGGCAGGATGAAGGCCTCCAGATCATTTTAGCGACACTGCCAATCATATCTTTCATAAATCAACGTTTCCCAAAGCAACGTTGTACCGACCACAATTAGTGTATTATCAAAACCTCTGGGTTGCAGTCAAATAGACAAAAAATACATCCCATGTCTTTTCCTAAACACTTATCCTTGACCTCTTGACCTCAATGGAAAACATCATCAGGTGAGGTGAGGTGTGTGTGTATGTGTGTGAGTGAGTGAGTGAGTGAGAGAGGGAGATGCTGGTAGAGAAGGAGTGTGTGCATTGATAGCTTTTTTTATTCTGTTTCTGCACCTTGTGATGTGCCTGTGTGAGATATATGACCAAAATATATTTTTATTTCAAAAGTAAAACAATAAAAATGTATATTTTTACTGCATTAATTTACATTTGCTTAATCTTGTGATCATGAGAAGCTAAAAAGAAAAAAAAAGTTTTTTTAGATAGGCTGCTGAAAATGTCTGACCAATCTAAAATAGCTGATTTTAAAATCCAGCCCAGATGAGTTTGTGACTGAATAGCCCTGTGCTACATCATCGGAGAGTCCACTACTTTCATTAAGAATCATTTAGCTGTATATTTCATCTCAGAGCTGGTTCAGTATAAGTAGAATATACCGTATACATGTATACACAGTATCACATCCCAGAATTGATTACAAATGTTAAAATTCTGTTTCAATTCTAATGTGTCTTAAAAACACGTGTACTTTACATTAATGCTTTTTAGCCTCTTGTGATATTTTTCCAAATAATTCTTTACATTATTATCACTATTTTGAGCATACATTTTTACAGAGTGTCGAACATTGTTGTTGATTTGTCTTACTAAGGGCATTTTTAGGGGCTATTTTTTCATTGTTTCAGTGTTTGGCTTTTGTGTTACTCCCTTGAAATCAATGTGAAAGAGATTCCTGCTGCATTCATTGAGCAACCAATCGCATTACTCAGTGGCTACTGTACATGTTTGTGCTAATATGTGCATTTGAATTCTTTCGCAGGCAGACAAATAAAGACAAATAACTAGTCAGCAATCAGTCATTTTGCATTAGTTTTATTACAGATAATTTAGGCATGTGGCGAGTCATACATTCTGTTTTCTGAACGTTTGAAGTAACATGCTAAAAGTTGACTTTAAAGTTGATTCTGTAGGTTACAGTAGTTTTTGATTTATTCTCGAAAAAAGAAACAGAGAAAGTGGGCATTAGTTGCATTTAGCATCAACATTGTTATCAGCAGCTATAGAGTGCGTTGATCCTTGCGATGTCCCAGTAGGACAGGCCCTGCCTCTGGCCGATCTGGACGTTGGGGTCGGGGATGGGGGTGATGGTGTCCATCCCGTACTGGATGGTGAAGGCTGTTCTTCCATAGTGCATGATGGAGGAGTAGTCGTAGGGAGTGTTGAGGTTGTTGGTGTCCTGCTTGTAGAAGTTGTAGGCCATCTGCGGGTTGATGTTCTCCCAGTTGATCCTGACGTAGTAGTCGCGGTCGCTCCTGGTCTGTTCGTGCTGGAAGCCCAGAGCGTGGTTGATCTCGTGCTGGATGATGCCGTGGTAGAGGCAGCCCTGCCTGTTGAGAGAGAGCACCTGTTTGCCTCCTGCTCTGCCCAGAGCGGAGAAACATCCGGCTTTGTTCTCAATGCTGATGTAGTCGTACTCGCTCTGACGGGGGACGAAGCGGAGGCAGGTGCTGCTGTGGAAGGCATTCATGGCGTAGTCGATCTTCTGTCTCTCCCAGCTGCTGAACTCACTGCTCACGGTGAAGGGGATCATCACCATGCCGTTGGAGGCTTTCTTCCACAGGCAGCTATTGTACCAGCACGTCATGGCGTTTCTGGTTGTGGGAAGCAGCAGGTCTCCTTCCAGCAGCATCTCATTGGTGCCATTGTTGGTGGTCAGAATCCTGGTGGTGATGTCCACGGTGTCTGGAACTTCTTCTCCTCCTCCTTCCTCCTTGAGAGGAAGTGCCTGAGAGAGGCCGAGCAGCAGCAGCAGCAGCAGGCTGGCAGAGAGAGTCATCTTTATGGTCGGTCTGGAGGCTGTGGAGCTTCTGTGGAGAGCTGCTGTGGAGAGACTCCTTGAAGGTTGATGTCTGACTCAGTTCAGTCCAGGGTCTTTATACTCTCCTCTACAGGTGTGTCTGCAGGAGGATTATGGGTTGGGGTCTACACTGCTAGGCCTGAACAAACCTCTGAAGGGAGGACTCCACAGACAAACCTACTTTTTAAACATGGTTGGTTATTTTTGGACATTAGATGGATGAACACAGCTTTAGTCAATGGTTTTGGTTGAAACTTGTTAAGATGAACACTTCACATGGTGTTCAACCAAAAAGACCTCATTGGAGTCTCCTTGTTGAACCAAGCTTAATTTAAGCAAAGGCATGTACAGTATATGTCCCTCTGACACTTACTTTTGATATCTGTTCAAAAGAACTGAATTGCTAATTAAGGAGGTTAACAAATACAAATACATTATTCTGATGGAAACAGATAATGTAGCCTATTCGAGACCGATATAAACAGCATCTGATTGTTAGCTCCCCTCCATTGATCTGTTACTCGGGTGAAACAATTTGCCACTAACATCATACTGTCTCTTTTCAGGGTCATTACCAAGTCAAATCAAAGACACACAGACATCATAAATACACTGCTACAACCAAGAAAATACCCTTTATTGCAGTGGCAGGATAACTGATGTAAAGTCAGCATAAGATTAGAATAATAGAAAAAAAGTAAACTATCATATGTGCTAATGTGGTCCATGTACAGTATATAATCATAGTTTAGCATGTAAGCATGCTACAATTTGCTAAGTAGCAATAAACATAAAGTCCAGCTGAGGCTGATGGGAATGTCATTAGTTTTGAAGGTATTTGGTCATAAACCGAAGTAATGGACTTGACACAATTTTGGCTTGATGGTGGTGCTAGATGAAAAGTCAGAGAATAAGGAAAGTGAAGACCATTATCATGAGAGGACCATAAACGTTTGTGCCAAATTTCATGGCAATCCGTCCAATAGTTGTTCTGTCATTTCACATAAAATCATGGATGTCAACCTCATGGTGACTCTAGAGGAAATGTTGTAGGACCACCAAAGTCAACTGATCCTCATGGGGCCATGAATGGCTGTACAAAATTGCATGGCAATCCATCCAATAGCTGTTGAGATAGTTCAGTCTGCAAAGTGATGCACAGACTCATACTGTCATCTCATCATCCGGTACTGAAGCCTGCACCCTGTGTGACTTAAAGACGAACACCACCTAAATCAAGAATTCCTATATGTTCTTTCCATGGCCCAGGAAAGTTCAATGAATAGGCTATATGTGAACATGAGCTGCTCTCTCTCAAAGCCAGAAACCAGAGAAGTAAGTCTCAAACTTATGATGTCATAGGGTATAAAGTTTGAAGCTGCTCCATAGACAATGAATGGGAAATGGATTTTGTGAACCCACAGAATGTTTGATTTCTTTTTTATACCCAAATGAGATTCACTCTATTGTAGTGATCTCTGTTCTGAAACAGAAAATGTACCCATATACTCCGATCAGTCCGCTGGGTGCTCATAGTGTCATCTATAACACCTTTTTACAATTCACAGACTATAGAGCAGCACCAGACTTTATGGCCTATGACATCACAATGTTGAGTTGTAGCACTCTATTTTTTTATTTTATTTTGGAGAGTTTTTCATTTTTAAAGATATTTGTGGACTGTCTTAGACCATCGGAATACCATGTATGAATTTTGAAAATTAGTGAAGTTCCCCTTTAATAGAAGCCTGTACTGGATATTGACAAGCTGAAGTAAGTCTTTGGGTTGCCGTGGAATAGTCAAACAATACATTCTATGTATTTTCCTAAACAGTTTTGCTTGACCTTTTGACCTCAATGTAAAACATCATGGTGTGTGTGTGTGTGTGTGTGTGTGAGAGAGAGAGAGAGAGAGAGAGAGAGTGTTATTGGTTACTGTTATTGGCACTTATCATTGCTCTGTGCATTGATAACTCTTTTTTATTCTGTTTCTGCACCTTGTGATGTGCCTGTGTGAGATATATGACCAAAATATATTTTTATTTCAAAAGTAAAACAATAAAAATTGATAATGGTTTTGGCATTAATTTACATTTGCTTAATCTTGTGATCACGAGAAGCTAAAAAGAAAAAAAAAAGTTTTTTTAGATAGGCTGCTGAAAATGTCTGACCAATCTAAAATAGCTGATTTTAAAATCCAGCCCAGATGAGTTTGTGACTGAATAGCCCTGTGCTACATCATCGGAGAGTCCACTACTTTCATTAAGAATCATTTAGCTGTATATTTCATCTCAGAGCTGGTTCAGTATAGAATATATCGTATACATGTATACACAGTATCACATCCCAGAACTGATTAGAAATGTTAAAATTCTGTTTCAATTCTAATGTGTCTTACAGAGTGTCGAACATTGTTGTTGTTTTGTCTTACTAAGGGCATTTTTGGGGGCTATTTTTTCATTGTTTCAATGGTTGGCTTTTGTGTCACTCCCTTGAAATCAATGTGAAAGAGATTCCTGCTGCAATCACTGAGCAACCAATCCCATTACTCAGTGGCTACTGTACATGTTTGTGCTAATATGTGCATTTGAATTCTTTCGCAGGCAGACAAATAAAGACAAATAACTAGTCAGCAATCAGTCATTTTGCATTAGTTTTATTACAGATAATTTAGGCATGTGGCGAGTCATACATTCTGTTTTCTGAACGTTTGAAGTAACATGCTAAAAGTTGACTTTAAAGTTGATTCTGTAGGTTACAGTAGTTTTTGATTTATTCTCGAAAAAAGAAACAGAGAAAGTGGGCATTAGTTGCATTTAGCATCAACATTGTTATCAGCAGCTATAGAGTGCGTTGATCCTTGCGATGTCCCAGTAGGACAGGCCCTGCCTCTGGCCGATCTGGACGTTGGGGTCGGGGATGGGGGTGATGGTGTCCATCCCGTACTGGATGGTGAAGGCTGTTCTTCCATAGTGCATGATGGAGGAGTAGTCGTAGGGAGTGTTGAGGTTGTTGGTGTCCTGCTTGTAGAAGTTGTAGGCCATCTGCGGGTTGATGTTCTCCCAGTTGATCCTGACGTAGTAGTCGCGGTCGCTCCTGGTCTGTTCGTGCTGGAAGCCCAGAGCGTGGTTGATCTCGTGCTGGATGATGCCGTGGTAGAGGCAGCCCTGCCTGTTGAGAGAGAGCACCTGTTTGCCTCCTGCTCTGCCCAGAGCGGAGAAACATCCGGCTTTGTTCTCAATGCTGATGTAGTCGTACTCGCTCTGACGGGGGACGAAGCGGAGGCAGGTGCTGCTGTGGAAGGCATTCATGGCGTAGTCGATCTTCTGTCTCTCCCAGCTGCTGAACTCACTGCTCACGGTGAAGGGGATCATCACCATGCCGTTGGAGGCTTTCTTCCACAGGCAGCTATTGTACCAGCACGTCATGGCGTTTCTGGTTGTGGGAAGCAGCAGGTCTCCTTCCAGCAGCATCTCATTGGTGCCATTGTTGGTGGTCAGAATCCTGGTGGTGATGTCCACGGTGTCTGGAACTTCTTCTCCTCCTCCTTCCTCCTTGAGAGGAAGTGCCTGAGAGAGGCCGAGCAGCAGCAGCAGCAGCAGGCTGGCAGAGAGAGTCATCTTTATGGTCGGTCTGGAGGCTGTGGAGCTTCTGTGGAGAGCTGCTGTGGAGAGACTCCTTGAAGGTTGATGTCTGACTCAGTTCAGTCCAGGGTCTTTATACTCTCCTCTACAGGTGTGTCTGCAGGAGGATTATGGGTTGGGGTCTACACTGCTAGGCCTGAACAAACCTCTGAAGGGAGGACTCCACAGACAAACCTACTTTTTAAACATGGTTTGTTATCTCTGGTCATTAGGTGGGACATGTTGAACTAAACATCTCACATTGTCTTCAACCATTAAGGATTCCCATTGTGTTTATGAAACATTAATTCAAGCTTAATCATGTATGTGTATATGTATGTGTTAGCCTCTTTAAGACTCTTAACTATTTTGATATCTCCATATCATTGATATCTTCCATACCATTTACTTGTATGTATAATTACATAGTGTAGCCTACTTGTTGCCTGTATTCAGTCAAACCATGAAATGTAAAATACAAGACTATGGGTCAAAAGCTATGATGGTGGCTTTGTTAGACTGTGCTCAGACACAGCTGTGCAACATTTAGTATGCTAACAATAATAATATTAATATATGTTAATAAGCTGATGCGTAGCATATCAAATGTTAACAATGTTTACTATCCTAGTTTTGTGTGTTAGCATGCTAACATTTGCTAATAAAAAGTAAGGGGAGTTAACTAAAGTTATTTGGATTCATCCATTAATGTGTGCACTAAATGTTGTGGCTATCCCTTTAATAATTCTTGAGACATTTCACTAATGTGGCACTGTAGGGGGAAAGTCTGGGGACCATGAATGTATGCCAACTCTTTCATGGCAAACCATCCAATAATTGCTGAGACATTTTAGTCTGGATCTAAGTGGTAGACAATGCAGACCTTCAAGCTGGCCAATCACTGAATAATTTAGTGTTCATATCTTGGATTTAGGTTTTCAAGAGTGAGTCTATTCTTTTGTTTACATTTGGATCACTGATTGAGCCTTTAATTTATATCTATCACTAATCTATATAAAACTGAAACAAATACTCAATTATTTATCAGTGGACTGACTGAATAATCTAAAAAGACTCAGCAACTCCTTTAATAACAGTTTATGTCATAAAAAAACAATATTTTCAAGCTTTTTCAGTTGAACAAAACAAGTAATTTCACATCACCTTAGTCTTTAGGAAATTGTAATTGGTATTTTCCACTATTATCTGACAATGGACAAAATAGTCAGCAGATTACGCCATAATGAAAATAACTGTTGCTTGGGCCCTTATATTAACTTGTTTGACATATGACATTACTAGTGTGTAATTTTGATAAATTGGAGATATTGTAATAACGTGGGCTCTGCAGTTCAAAACAAAGCTTTTGGCTACAGATCTCCTGGGAGTTGTTTTACAGCCAACTACTTGCATGAGGAATCATTTAGCTGTTTGAAACATTTTAGAACTGGTTCAGCAAAAAAATTCTGTCGTAAATCTGAAATCTGCCAACTCACACAAGTCATTGAAAAGATGCCTTTAATTATTGAAATGTCCAGTAAGGTCAAAAATAGAATGACCTTAAGTGGCTTTATCACCGACATGTGGGCAGCCAACGGTCAGAAAGTCACAGTCAAACACACAGCGTATGTCAACACCATGTTCTACAGCTCACAGAGGTGCTTTAACCATGCTTTGAATTCACAGGTTTTCTTCATCTTATGATTTGTTTCCTTATGGATTACTTAACATTGCTAGTTTGGGGATAATATTTACATACTGTAAAATAATTTTCCCATTTGTTTGGACAATTAGCCAGATGTTGGGGAAAAAAAAGAAGAGAAATGCATCTATATTCATAACAGCTTTAGCAAGTTGTTTGTTTCAGGCATTCCTCGAGCCACTGTTTTGCGCAGATATTCAACAATCACAAAGAAGACATATAATATATATCAGATCATATTCCAAAACACCAGAAAAACCCACTAGTTTATGAGAACACAACCTACAAAGGTTTTAGCTTTAGATATAAACTCTGACATCATTTTTATTTGTGTTCTGGTAATTTATTTGTTTGTTACAGGATAAACGCATGAATGCACTCCTCTTTGTGTGGACCTTGTGATTAAGAGGCATCCTAAAATAATGTCTTCAGTTGGCTTGCACTGCATCAGCAGGCACTGTGGTTGATCTTAAATCACCCCAGGTACTCTGAGTGACTCCATGAGAAATGGACACTCTTCCTGCTGAGTCCACAGTTTGCCTGATAGATTGTGCTGCTTCAGATGCTACTGAATTGGTCCTGATAGAGCATCTGAATGGTCCGAGGGATATTGTTAGCCAAAAGCTGTGGGGTGAGTGGAAAGTGACCTTGGCACTCAGCGCTCTCTTATTTCACGGTTATGATAGAGGATTTTTTGCGATGTGTGTTTTTTTACTACTGTCTCTGTGGCACTCTGTTCTGCCACTTTGCTGTCATTTTCATTTCTTCTGCATGGCCAGCTTCAGTGTGGATGAACTCCATCATCATCCATCACAAACCAGACAAGCACTTGGATATCTTTTTTATTTTAGGAAAAGAAAAGAGAATTATCGCTTGCACTCAAAGTGAATGTTTGCATTTATTATGATTAAGTAAATTAAAACACATTCTATATTCCTTTTGGTGACATAAAACTCGAGATCACAGTACAGCTGATGGGAGTGTTACAGACAGAAGCCCTTTGATGTTGCTGCTGGTGTAATTCAACCATCATATCCAGATTTCCCGAAGGCATTAACTTTAAATAGCACAATGGAGAGTTACATTACATCTGCTTGACTGGTAGCTGGATAGTCTACACTGCACCAGCAATACCAGTCCTGTGACATTTTTCCTTTTAAGGAAGCACAGTCATTTCTGGACAAAAGCATCATGGTAGTTGTTACCTTTTGGCCGGCATAGAGCTCACAATTTAACTCTCATAAGAGTTTTTAACTCTAATGTTTGAATATGCCCTTTAACATGACACACACCACCTTCTCATCATTTAATCACTCTAAGGAAGAGAATCATACCACCTCAACTGTCAAAATATAGTCAATTAAAACTTAAAATACACATTGAACATCATAAAATAAATATGGCCTACATAATAATGGTCCCTGAGCATTTGTCCAAAATGATACTACAGTGCTTCGCCTTGAATGTTTCCATGTAGAACATCTGCAGCAGTACAACAGTGGGCTACTGATGTGTGTAATAGAGTTCTTATGTGGCAAGTGTTGAATTTTTAACCATCCTGAGCCAGCTGAGTAGACTCCATCCAGGCATGAAGATAGGAAGACAGATTACCTAAGCTAAAACTACCAAAACATAACATAGCATGGCATGTGCAGGAATAGGGCGAGGGGCTGCCCATACACTATTTGCTAGTGCCCATATTGAGACCCTTATTTAAAGGGTAAATTTGATATATTTCAGCCTGGACCCAATTTCCCATGATTTTATGACTAATGGGAACAGCAGTTTTTTTAAATTGGTCCAGTACTGAATGAGAGTGCTGCAGCCAGCAGCTGCGAAACAGGCTTCAGTGTCAACATTCAGGGTCACACCGTCAATTTAAGGCCACTTAAAGTGCTTGTTTTTGCCACTGACAAGTTCAGATTAGTACTCTCAGTGTCTAACAGCATTATGGAAAGGACGCTGCAGAGATAAACCTCTTTGATAAAGAGTAAGATCTCTTTTATTAAAACAGAAACAACCCAGAAATTGCTATCACTATTGCTAACTCACCAGACTCCGTTTAAATAAACAGCAGTTTTATCATTGTAAAACTCTTCCTTCAAAGTCAACGGAAACAAAATTAAACTCACAAAAGCTGTCTCGGTTATTCTATTCAGTGTTCCAACAATCACCAGCACTGGTGTGGTTGAAATAAACCCTTAATCCCCATAGTTAGTCCCCAGTTAGAAAATATACTGGCTCTATACTTGCTAAAATTAGCTTTATTTTTAATGGAGTCTGGTGGATTGGACAAAAGTGACTTCAGGACTGTTTCCAGTTAAACAAAGAGTATCTTACTCTTTAACAAAAATGTTAACCTCTGTAGGGATGCTGTCCATAAAATAACAGACAATTAGAATATTAATCTGAGCCTGTCGGTGGCACAAAAAGCACTTGAAATGGATGTAAATTGATGGCGCAAACATGCCCCAAGTACTTACACTGCAGCCTGTTACACCACTGCAGATCTGTCCTTCAATGCTGGACCAGTTTTAAAAATTGTTGCTCTCATTTTGACTCAAAAACATGATGAAATATGGTCAAGGTTGAAAAATGCTAACCTTACTCTTTAACTGCTGTGCCATAATGGGGTGATTCCATGCTTCATGTTTGCCCTAATGAAACACTGTCATCAAGAGACAGGCATCATGTGGTGGTGCACAGGGTCATTTGATGCTACACTGCAGTAACCTTGGGAAAAATTAACTCAAATACAATGGGCTGCCTAACCCCTTTTCTTTTCTTGCTCCTGCCTCATGAAAACAAAACCTTTTTTTCAGTTTTGTAAAATTGTAAATGTAAAGGTAGGCCTTAGATAAAGTATGCTGCGTAAAGTTCCATCGGAAATGACCATCATCTCTGAAATCGCCTCTGACTTCCTACTTCTACCATGACCTTGGTGAATGAGCATCTTCATCGACATCCATCAGCTTCACAGTAATTTTCCACTGTACATTCACACTACAAAGCTGCCCAACACAACCACAGTCCAGTACTCCTGCAGCACTTGGCAGCTCCACAGAGGCTGTGGGGTTCAGTGTCTCACTGCATCCCACCAGACACTGAAGAATCAGAAAGGACAGTGGTGATGACCTTCTGGCAAATTACATTACAGTGAGAATAAAATAGAAGGAAAGGAGTCTGAATTATTGCCAGTGTGGTACCATTAGATAATGTGAATTCAGTGACCCAAGGGCCAGGATCTTCATTTTGAAAGCTAGATCAAAATACTGCTCCAGTCTAGTGAAAAGAT